ACCTTGGAGGGACTGTTTTGGGCGAGATGGTTGGGGAATAGCCTCTCTGAGGGGGTGATGTTTGAGCTAGCTCAATGAAGCAAGGGAGCAAACCCAGCAAGGGTCTGGGGTGATTCTGGTATGGGGGAACAGCACATGCAAAGGTCCTGAGGCAGGACCAGGCTTGGTGTGTTGGAGGAACAGCAAGGAGTCCTGTGTGGCTGAAGCAGAGTGAGGGGGAGGGGAAGAGGAGTGGGGTGTTAAGGGAGGCAGGTGACACAGTCTGTAGGATGTCTTGATGTAAATGGACATGATGTTTGCTCCCCAGGGCCGCAGTGGGGTTGAGTGAGACCCTGTGGCAGGACAGGGATGTGGTAGGCTCCCCTTCTGGTCACTCTGCCCATGTCCCCTACTCAGTGTCACCTGCCCCTCCTTGGTTCCCTTGGCTCCTGTGCGTCCTCATTCTGGGCCCTGCAGGCCTACATCCCTCTGCTAAGAACACCCTCCTCTGGCAGCTGCCTTCTTCCTAACCTATGGGACTTGGTCTTTCATACTCTGAACCAAGGCTGAGAAGCCACCTAGTGTCCTGGAGCCCAGTAGGTGCTCATTGCAGTGGATGGGCTGCTGCATCTGTGAGGGTGGGGATGGGGCACCAACTTCTACCCATTTTTGCTTCACTGGAAATTTGACAGGCAGAGCCCCAGTCCCATCAACCCAGCTTGTGTTTTCTGTTTTGCTAATATTTTTTTTCTTTTTGTTAGTCTGCACCTTTTCTTCCCCATCCTTAATTTTGGTCTGATTGCTGAGTCCACATTGGCCTTGCTTGCTTTCAGGCTGGAGCCAGTTTAGTCATTTATTCATTCATTAACTCATTCATCCATGGTTTCTTGAGTGTCTCCTGTGGGCCAGGTTTTGTTCTAGGCCCTTTGGATACAGCAGCCTAGGGATACAAAGCCCGTGCAAAGGCCCTGAAGCAGGACAGCGCCTGTTGTGTTGGAGGAACTGGGAGAAGGCCTGTGTGGCTAGAGCAGAGTGAGCAAGTAGAGAGGGCGGAGATGAGGGCAGGGAGGGGATGGGGCAGGTTGAGAAGAGCTTTGTAGGGCAGGGGAAGACTTGGGTTTTTACCCCAGGGATCCCTGGAGGGCTGTGGATGGAGCAAAGATGGGGCCTGACTCCACTGCTCACAGGCACCCTTTGGTGGCTGCTGTGAGGAGGACAGACTGGGGTGGGGGTGGGTGGTGGGGGGCAGTGTGAAGGGCTGAGGAGACTGTGCTGGTCCAGGTGGGTGATGATGGGGCTGAGAGGAGTGAGGAGTAGTAGCATATTCTGGACAGAGTCAAGGTAGAGCCTAGTGCTGGAGGACATATGTTAAAGCCCTGTCCCTGGGTCCTAGGGGCCCATGGTCCTTTGGGAGCTTTCCCTGCCTTGGTTTCCACATCAAACAAATGTGGAGAAGCAACTCCTTCTGAGGGGAGAGGGGAGAGCCACTATGTCTGTCCCTTCATCTCTCTGTCCCTTGTCCGTTAGAAGTCAACAAGCATTCACAGGTGTCTGCTAAGGGCAGTGCCAGACCAGCAGGCAGTACAGCTGTGCCCTGAGGCGGGTCTTGGCCTGGAGATAGGGCTGCATAGGGCCTGCTCTCCCAGCTTTGTATGTCAGGCTCTTCCCCTCCTCCGGGCCAATTTTAAAAATTAATTTCTTCAAAAAAATGGGGTGGCTCATTCAGAAGATAATTGGTCCTATCTTGGGCTGAGAGGACCTCCACATCTGGGCATGGTCTCTGCCATCTCCAGCCTGGCCCAGCCAGTGGGAATGACCGCCACCCTCTGCAGCTGTGTGACCTCGTGCAACAGACTCATGCCTGAGCCCCAGCCCCTCTTCTGAAGATACATACAGGCTGAGAGTGACAAGGTCACTGCCCTCACAGTCATCACGCTGTGGTGGGGCAGATGATGAGGTTAAAAAAAGGAATTTCAGAGAGCAGGTGGGGACATGCAGATGGAAATACTGGGGAATGTGGCCTGAGTAATAGGACAGGGAGGTGACTAGGGTGGCCACTCTGAGGGGAGGCTGGGCTGAGACTTGAGGACCAAAGGGCCGGCCTCAGGGAGATCTGGGGGAGGGTGTTCAGGGCAGAGGGAATGGCACATGCCAATGCCCTGAGGTGTCTGTGTCCATTCCCTGCACCGCCCCCCACAGGCCCACAGAATTCAAACACCTTGGGTGTAGGAGCAGGACATAGGAGGTGTGGTTTGTGGAGGAGGCCAGGACTCAAGTGGTTACTGTTGGATGGGTTCTGGGCCCAGGGACCCCCATACAAGATATGTCCTGGTCCACTGCTGGCTCCCTGCCTTCTCTCCTCTTCCTTCCCCACACCCCAAATGCAAAACCATGAATTGTTCTGCTGTTGAGCAGCCAATGAAAATATTATGTCAGCTTTCCAGCACCTTCCAGTCCCCGCTTGCCACCAGCAGGGCTTTGGGATGTGCCAAAGCCCAGGTTCGTCGCTGTGGCCAGGACACTCAGGTGGGGAGCCTCAAACATCTGCCAGTAGGCACCCAGAGCCCAGCCTGACCCCCATGTGGCTGGTGTATCCTGGTTCAGCTGGCCCTTCTGGGGCCCTGCGTGGTGACTCAGTTCGTTGGTGTTGTCCTCTGTGCCAGGGTCCCCTCTGGTGGGCCGTGTGGCCTTGACCTTAGCCTCAGCTAGTTGCCCCCCATGCAGACTCAGTTTCCCCATCTGGACCATCTCCTAGGAGGTCTCAGCTCCCTGCTTGCACAGGTGGGCACAGACTGCTGGGGTGGTGGTCATAACTGAAAGAGGACATGAGTCTCCACCCCTGCTGTCCTGGCCTGTACCTTTGGCTGTGTTGGCTTGGCTTTGTTTTATATTTTTTTAAATTAGAAATAATTCATATACCATAAAATTTACACTTAAGTATACAGTTCAGCGTTTTTTGTATCTTCACAATGTTGTACAACTGTCACTGATTGGAGCAGAACAGGTTCCTCCTCTGCCCAGTGAGATTGACCCCAGATGCCACACCTGGCCTGCCCCTCTCCCTTCCTGACCTGAATCCTTCCAGGCAGCCTGGTCCACTCTTGGGATTCCAACCCTGTCTGCACCCTGACAACACCCACAGTCCAGTCTCTCGCTGGGGTTCCCCTGAGCTGCAGACTCAGTGTCCAGCTGCCCCAATATGTCTCCATGTGGGCTCACAGGGATCTCACACTCAACACAGCCACAGTGTGCCTGACCATCCCTCCCAAACCTGCTCCTGCCCATCCCCCACCTCAGCTGGCAGCTCCTTCCTTCTGTTAATTGCTCCAGTCAAAATCCTTAGTCATTTCTGACTCCTTCCTGTTCTCACTCTGCCTCCAGTGAGTACAGCCTGTCTCTCCTAACTTTAGATCTTTCAGAAGCGCATTTCTCACCCTTTCTGAATCCCCACCTTGGTCCACCCCATTGGATCCCACCTAGACCAGGCCTTCCTCTGGCCCGCCTGGTCCCTATCTCCTGCCCTCCCCCGCCCCCCCCAGTCTGTCATCCCTGAAGCAGCCACCAGGGAGTGCTTGTGAGCACCTATGTAAAGGCCAAGTCACTCTCTACCCAAAGCCCTCCAGGGCTCCCACCTCCCTCAGGGTCAAAGCCTAAGACCTCCCTTGTTAATCTGCACCCGAATCATTCTCCTGGCACTCATCCAACTGTACAGACCCTTCTCTGCTCCCTCCTGTGAGCCCTTGAGGGCAGGGGCCAGGTCTGTCCTGGTCATTACTTGCCGCCCCCCCCCCCTTTTGACACCCAGTGAATGAGTTTCCTGTTGCAGCTGAAACAAATCAATGCAAACTTGGCTTAAAACCATACACATTTATTCTCTGACAATTCTGGGGTCAGTAGTCTGACATGGGTCTCATTGGTCTAAATCCCGGTGTGGGCAGGGCTGGTTCCTTCCTGAGACTCCAGAGAGAACCATTTCCTGCCTTTTCCAGCTTCTAGAAGTGCTGTATCCCTGTTTGTGGCCCTTCTCCATTGTCACAGCCAGCCGCACAGCCTCTTCCATCTCTCTGACTCTGACCCTCCTGCCTCCCTCTTATAAGGACCCTGGGATGGCCCTAGGGCCCTGGGGAATCTAGGGTCATCCCCATCCCAGGGGCCTTAATTCTGTCTGCAAACCCATTCCTGGATCAGGACATGGACATCTTTTGGGGGCATTATCTGCTGATCACCCTCATTGAACAGATAATCCTTAGCAGAAGCCACTTTCCCCATAAGGACACTGGGGCTCAGAGAGGTCAGTGGTGGGGCCCGAGGCCTCCCTGCTGGGAGCTAGGATTGAAGGAATGGCCCTGAAGGAGGAAAATTGCCCATTTTCTCACCATGAACTTCCTTAGGCCAGGGAGTGCTCCTGGAAGTTGTGGTGAAAAGAGCTAAGTCCTTGGCTGTTTTTCCAGAACTAGCTCCCTAGATAGGGCCAATAGAGCTGGTACCATTGCTCCATCCTGGGTCCCTGGCCACTGCTTACTGACCATAGCTCCCCAGTGCCCCGGGCCCTCCCCACAACATCATCCCAACCTCGAACCTCTGGGTCATCTGATTTCTTTGTGACCCAAGTGTCTCCTGGTTAAGCCCTGTTCCTACCAGCAGAGGAAGATGGCACTTTGTGAATTCAGTCAGTTCTTTCCAACAAGGACCTGATGTCTTTGGGGTAAATGGTGGGTCAGAGTTGGGGGGTTGTCTCTCCCTGCTGCTCCTGCCTGGGGGTTACCCAGCATCCAGTCATCCTACCACCTCAGCCTATCCTGTCTCCATACTTCTGTTTTCCATGAGGGGTTCTTGTGACCCTCCCTAGGGACACAGAGTACCTAATGAGGTTGTAGGCACCTGTGTGTGAGGGGGGAGCATGGTCAGCAGCCTGAACCCCCCTTGGAGCCCCTGACATGGGAAGATGTGTAGGTTGGTGGGCTAGGCCCTGTGGTTTGGACTCCCTGCTGCCAGTCTGAAGTCTCCCTTCTTTTCCTCAGGTTTGGCCCAGAAAAAGACTGCCCTGACTGAGGTAAGTGTCCTGTGGGCCCTATCCTGACCTGTCTCATCCAGGAGACAGACAAGGAAGCACCCAGCCCTGCTTGGGTCCTGTGGACTCACGGCAACTCACTGTACCTCTCTGGGCCCAAATGATGGCAAATGTGAGATGGGTGAAAATCCCATCCCCCTGCCAGCATCTGGAGTTTCAGGGAGGGATGCAGGTTGGGGAGGGACAAGGCCCAAGGACTCAGCCCTGGGCCAGTGAGGGAGAGGGGGTAGGCCAGAAAGGGGAGGCCCGAGAGGTAGTAGGGAAGTTGGACAAGCTCTGGTCACTGAGGAGGAGGGGTCTTGCCAGGAGGGTGGTGCCTGCCCAATGCCTGACTAGTAGCACCTTTTTCGTAGTGTCTCGTAGTGTCCTAGGCAGCCCACATAGGAGTGCAGAGTCCCTTTCATTCTTCATGCCTGGGAGCCCACCATCCTCACCATCTTCCAGCCATGTTCCTAGACAGATTTCCCTGGTGATGTCTGCTCTCATGCATACATGCGGCCATGCTGCCCTGTGGGCCCCTGCTGCCTGTCCTCAGCGAGGACAGTACAGGCGGGGTCTCCACTGTCCCTGGTTAGAGTTTCCTGTCACTACAGAAGGTGGCCTATGAGAAGCGTTTCTGAGCCGTTTTACAGGAGGAGCAACTCAGGTGTGGCTTGCCTGCACCTGTGGTAGCAGAAGTCCTGCCTGAGCATCCTTTGTCCCCTTGGAGCCAGGTCTCCTATCCCAGGATGCCCCCCACCATGTGGGCCCTTCAAAGGAGGGCTTCCTCCACTCACGGGGCAGTAGGAGTGGGAGATGAGTAGGCCCAGGCCCTCCAAGGGCAATAGGGAGCCAGTGAGAGGTGTGCGGCAGGGGCAGCAACAAAAGGTTCCTGAGGGGACCCTGCCCCCTGGTGGCCAGTGTGCAGAAAACATGGGAGCCAAGCTGAGGAGGGATGGTGGGTGGGGGACGTTAGAGGGCTGCCTGGAATCGATGTGGGGGCAGTGCAGGTCGAGCTGATGGCCAGAAAGGGTGTGTGGGATTTTTGAACTCTGGCAGTACATAGTGGCTACTTCTTAAATGTTAGTGACGGGTGGAGCCACCAGAGGAGCACTCAGTTTCTGTCTACTGGCTGGCCTTAGACACACAAGCCAGCTTTAAGTGTCCCTCCAGGCTCCTGTCGCCTCTTCCACTATCCTCCTCTTGTGACGTCACACGAGGGCCAGTGGCTTCCACACAAGTTTGTTGGGATGGCCCATGTCACATCTGCCACAGCTGTCCCCTAGCTTTCAGGAGCTGGGCAAATGGGACCTGGGAGGGGATGCTGTTCATAATCATTTAGCCTAGAGGGCTATTCTGCCCCCAGGGGACAGTGGACAACATCTGGGCACATCTGTGGTTGTCACACTGGGGTTGTTACTGGCATCAAGTGGATTGGGGCCAGGCATGCTGCTCAATCCCCCACAGTACCCAGGACAGGCCCCCCCCCCCACAGAGAACAACCTGGTTCCAATGTCAGCAGTACTGACAGACCCTAAAATTAGGTGGTTGCAGCTGCTGGCTTCCAGCTTTTTCAAGGAGCTGGGGGTCCTGGTCTGGATGTGGGCCCTTGTGGATGTGAGGTGTTGCCCACTGGGTGTGCAACCTGCCCACACAGCTTTCTGCCCCCCGCATGCCCCATATGGCCGAGCCCTGGGCTCCAGCTGGGCACGGTGACTAAGCTCCTCTCTCGCCAGAATTTCTAGAGTGTTACAGCCTCGGTGGCTCCTCCTTGCTCACTTTTTATGCTTCCTGTTTTCTCTTCTCTAGGCCCCATCGATGACCGGACAGCCAGGCCCTGGGCACGGGAGGAAGCTGGGCCATCGGGGCGTGGACGCATCTGGCGAAACCACTTACAAAAAGGTTCTTCCTCTGTCCTTAGCCAGCTGGGGCAGAGTGAAGGGGGGTTCTCAGCAGTTCAGGGAACCTATATGCTTCCCACACATACAGTGTCTGCTGAAGGTCAGGCATGGGCCCCTCTGTGCAGGACCCTCAGTCCTGACAAGGTCCCTGCTGCATGTTGTCATCTCAGGCAGCCTAGGGATGTGCTCTGAGGCTACACGGGCTGCACGGCCTGCCTGGCTCGAGGATCACCTGTGACCTTGGGTGAGCCCTCAGCTCCCAGCCCTGCTGGCTCATCTAGAGATAGAGGAAATTACAGCTCCCCTCTTCTCCCTCCGAAAGCAGGGCTAAGATGAGGCTGTGATGGGAAGCTCTGAGCCAGGCCAGGCTGGGGGAGTATGCAGGGAGCCTGGACCCCACCGCCATTAGTTCTGTCTTTCTCAGTTGTACTTCATGATATAACAGCTTTGCTGAGAGAAGGCACACACACCATGTGATTTTCCCCTTTTGAAGTGTACAATTAGATGGTTTCTAGAGTATTCACAGAATTGTGCAGTCATCACCGCAGTTAATTTTAGAATATTTCCATCTCTCCAAAAAGATACCCCATCCCTATTAGTAGTCACTCCGTGTCCCCCTTCACAGCTCCTGGCAAACGTGAACCTACTTCCCGTCTTTGTGGATTTGCCTGTTCTGGACATTTCACATAAATGGAATCACACACTGTGTGGCCTCTTGTATCTGGCTTCTCTCACTGAGCATGTTGTTTTCAAGGTTCATCCACGTTGTAGTGTCAGTGCTTCACTCCATTTCATGGCTGAATAATACTCCAGTGTGTGGGTGAACATGTGTTTATCCATTCACCCATCAGTGGACACTTGGGTTTTTTCCACTTTGGGGCTGTTATGAATGATGCTGCTGTGAAAGTTTGTGCACGTTTTTGTAGATGTGCCTTTTTAAAAAAATATATCTCTTTATTGATTTCAGAGAGAGAGAGGGAGAGAGAGAGGGGGGGAGAGAGAGAGAGAAACATCAGTGATGAGAGTCATTGATCGGCTGCCTCCTGCACGCCCCCTACTGGGGACGGAGCCCACAACCCAGGCATGTGCCCTGACCAGGAATCGAACTGCAGTCTCCTGGATCATAGGTCGATGCTCAACTGCTGAACTATGCTGGCCAGGCTGTAGATGTACTTTTCTCTCTTTGAGGCACGTACTTAGCAGTGGAATTGCTGGGTCACATGGAAACTTTTTGTATAACCATTTGAGGAACTTCCAGACTGTTTTGCACAGTGGCTATTCCATTTTCCATTCCCACCAACTGTGCACAGGGATTCCAGTGTCTCCCAGTCCTCACCAGCACTTGTCTTTCTTTCTGATTATACCCAGCCTAGTGCATGTGAAATGGTATGTCACTGTGGTTTTGATTTGTATTTTCTTGATGGCTAATGGTGTTGAGCACCTTCTCCTGTGCTTGTTGGCCATTTGTGTATTTCCCCTGTAGAAACTTGTGTTCAGTTGATGGCATCTTAAGGGAGTTGAGTGTGGAGGTTAGGACATGCCCCTCCCAGTGAGGGGGTTCAAGAGAAGAGGCAACTGGAGACTGAGACCCTTACACAGGAGGATGGGCTTGCTTGGGGGCAGAAGCTAACTCCTGACTTCCCTCCTGCTACTTGCACCTGTGACAGGGGTGGGGCCCAGAATCAGAGACTGAGGGTTGAGATGTCTTTCCTCAGTGCGCTTAGAGCGCACAGTGACAACGTAAACCACAGTGGTGAGAAAAGTGCAAACAGCGAATGCTTCTCAGGCATGGACAGCCTTTGGTCCAGGCCACTCACGTGAGCTAACACTCATCTTCATTCCCAGCTATGGGTAGAGAAACTGAGGCATAGAGAGGCAATGTTGTTCTCTGCTCATGACAATGTAAATCACCCAGAAAGTGGGTAGAAGGAATTCAGGTCTACAGAAATGAAGTTTAAGTGTCTCTCTCTACATTATGCCCCCCACCGCCTCCAAAAAACAAACCCTGATGGTGGATAGATTCCTGCTGCCTCAGGGCAGTTTTGAGATGTTGGGATGTTCTAGAACCTTGATTGAAAATGGGCCTTGGGTTGTACGAGGCAGTGTTGGAGTCTCAGTCAAGCCACTTATTTTCTGTGTGGTTGTGCAGGCCGAGCGACTGGCCTGAGGCTCACAAAACTGCGATAAGTGCTAGTAGGCACCCTGGGGCCCAGGGATGGGATAGGGGCTGGCCCAGGGGTAGGTCTTTATGTGACTGCATTTCCCCACAGACCACGTCTTCCACCCTAAAGGGGGCCATCCAGCTGGGTATTGGCTACACCGTGGGCAACCTGAGCTCCAAGCCGGAGCGAGACGTGCTTATGCAGGACTTCTACGTCGTGGAGAGCATCTTCTTCCCCAGGTAGGCCTGGCTCCCATGCCTCCAGCAGCTCACCCAATAGACACACTGTTGTCATATAAAACAGCCTCCTATTTTTGAGCTCCCTTCTCTGCTGCAAATAGTACAGCCCTTTACTGGTGTCTACTTGACTTTGAGGTCTGACTTGGGATCCATTAGGGTATTAGTTTGCTGCTGAATCAGAGAGAGCCAGTGTAATAGTGGTTTTTTAAAAATAGGGGACAAAAGATAGAAGTTTGTCTCACACACACACAAAAACCTATAGGCAATCCGGGGCTGGTCAGCTGGGTCCTGGGTTCCTTCTGGTTGCTCCACTATCCTCAGTATGCAGTTTTTCTAAACAGCAGTCCCAGGTGGCTGCCCAGGCTCTTGCCATCATGTCTATGTTCCAACAGCAGGAAGAAGGGGAAGGGTAGCACATTCCCCTTTCCTTTAGGGCACAGTCAGGAAATGACACATGGTTTCTGCCCTACTCACAGCTCATTGGCCGAGTACAGTCACTTGACCACACCTAGTTGCAAGAGAGGCTGGAAAGTGGTCTTATTCCAGATGGCCATGTGCTCAGCCAACATTGTGGACTCTACTGCTAACGAAGGAAGGGAGAGTGGATACTGGGAAACAGCCGGAGACTGGCCATAGCCCTTGGTCCCATTAGGAGCCTCAACTTGCCTTTCAGATTGGCGACTTAGGGGAGGCAGTGGAGCTCAGCACCTAGAGGCACCATTCCTCACAAGCTTTCCTCCTCCTTTCCTCCACAGTGAAGGCAGCAACCTCACACCTGCCCACCACTTCCAGGACTTCAGGTTCAAGACCTATGCACCTGTCGCCTTCCGCTACTTTCGGGAGCTCTTTGGAATCCGGCCAGACGATTATTTGGTAAGTGTGTTAGTCAGTTGTTGCTTTGTAACAAGTTAGCACAGACTCAGTGGCTCAAAACACCACCTGGTTGTAACCAGTTTCTGTGCCGGTTTCTGTGCATCAAGAATTGGATTCAGCTTAGCTGGATTCTTTGCTTAGAATTATAATTAAGAGGTGGGCAGTGGCTGGAGTCTCATGTGACGCTAGACTGGGGAAGGGTCCAATGCCAAGCTCATGTTGTCTTTGGCAGGGCTCAGTTCCTTACTGGCTGTAGGTTGGGGCCTCCTTTCCTTCCACACAGGAGGGAGAGAGAGAGCCTGCCAGCAAAGCAGACGTTACTGTTTCCTATGAGCTCATCACAGATGGGACCCCTCCACCCATTTACCACCCCCCTTCCAGTACTCGCTGTGCAATGAGCCACTGATCGAGCTGTCCAACCCTGGTGCCAGCGGCTCCCTCTTCTACGTGACCAGCGACGATGAGTTCATCATCAAGACGGTGATGCACAAGGAGGCAGAGTTCCTACAGAAGCTGCTGCCTGGCTACTACATGGTAGGGGCATGGGCTCCCTCAAGGTTCCAGGGGTTAGGGGCAGTGTCCCTCCAAGCCCCTGTCTGCCTCCCCCAACCTTATGCCCCTCTTCCTCCCAGTACATGCAGCAATTCCTCTCTGCCCTGAGCTCCTTTTCACAGACATGCAGGAGCAAAGGCTCCAAGGCCCTGGCAGACGGGTCCCTAAGATTCTTGGGATACTGCTCATCCTGTAGACGTTCATGAGAAGCCTTCCTGGGTCACTGGGCCTCACCCTCGGAGTTCCCCTCAGGAACTACCCCCACACTTGTGAGCAGGAATTGCTGTTTAGGCCCTGGCTCCCCATCCTTCACCCCACTAACATGCCTGAGTCGTGGGTCCAGAAATTGTGGCTCATGGGCCAAGTGTTTCGGCATTTGGTGACTCACACATGGGGCAAGCAGAGCTGGGCCACCAACTGGCATCTCACAAAGGACCAGCTACTTGAGCATCCCCATTATGGTATGACTCAAGACCCAAAAAGGCATGTCAGGCTCCTGGGCACGGGTGGGAGTGGGGGTCCTTGTACTCAAGTAAGCTCCAGTTGAGTGCTGACCGCCCTGCTGCGCTGACCTAGTGGGCGTGAGGACAGACCCCTCTGGGTCCTCTGCCCAGGTTGTGACCTTCTCCCCTTAGGGCATCCCTCATCTGCCATGTGTAATCTTGGTGGGACCCCTGACTCCTCTAAATCAGAAACCAGCAAACTTTCTGTAAAGAGCCAGACAACTTTCTGAGCCAACAGCCTGTCTCCACAGCTCAGCTCTGCCATTGCAGCTTGAACACTACCATAGACAGTGCCAAATGCCAATAAAAGTTTATTATGGACACTGAAATGTGAATTTTATGATATTTTCACATGCCACAAAATGCTATTTTTTGTATTTTTTTCAACTCTTTACCAATATAAAACCATTCTTAGTATGAGAACAAGCAGCCGGATGGAGTTTGCCTGTGGCTGGAGTTTGCAAACCCTTGTTCTGGACATACCTGGGAGCTGTTCCCTTCAATATCCCCCCAGGGTGGGCTGTGGAAGAGAAACCCTGGTCCGATCTGGTGGGAAGCTGGGTCCAGACACCTTGGGAGTGTCCCATGGCATTCTTTATCGAAAGGCCATGTCTCTGGACCTGCGCTGTAAAAAAGACCCTCCTGGAGTTTCCATTTGAGTTGGGAGATTGAGAATTAAACTGGCTGGTATGACCCTTATAAAGTTGGGTGCTGGGGAGGGAGGTGGTCAGGTCAGGGAGGCTTCCTGAGGAGGTGACCTCTGGCCTGAGATTTGAGTGGCTGTGTTCGAGGCCAGGGAGTGCAGGAGTGGCTCCCAGGCAGAGCTTGGGGCCCTGACTGCTGTCTACTGAGCTCTTCCCTCCTTCCCCTCCCCCTAGAACCTCAACCAGAACCCGCGGACGCTCCTGCCCAAGTTCTATGGGCTGTATTGCGTGCAGTCTGGAGGCAAGAACATCCGGGTGGTGGTCATGAACAACATCCTGCCACGCATGGTCAAGATGCACCTCAAGTTTGATCTCAAGGGCTCCACGTACAAGCGGCGGGCCAGCAAGAAGGAACGAGAAAAGAGCATCCCCACCTACAAGGACCTGGACTTCATCCAGGACATGCCTGAGGGGCTCCTGCTTGATGCTGACACCTTTTCTGCACTTGTCAAGACGCTGCAGCGGGACTGCCTGGTGAGCCTGTGGCCCCAGCCCTCCTGCCCCAGCTCCACTGCAGAGGAGAAGCTCAGGGCCAGAGAGGCTCCATTGCCTGGACAAGTGCAGGTGGTTAAGGGTGGGGATGCTGGGGATGCACCAGTGTGCTCCTAACCATGTTACTCCCCTCTCTGAGCCTCAGTTTTCCCACCTGTGAACCAGTGACACTGGTGAAAGCTAGTGCAGTGTGACCCCAAGATACACCATCCAGCACCAGGCTCCCTCCTCCTCCCCTTATCCCTATGTCCTGAAGCAGGCTGTGTTCCTACCGCAGACCCCAAACCTGCACGAGCAGCTCGACATTCTTATGACCCTTAACTTAAAGGGCACCTGAGATCCAGACCTGCCCCACCATGCCGCACTCACTGGCTCCATGCTGCCCTCCTCCATGGTTAGGTGCTTTTTAGGGATAAAAAATGCTCCACTGGGGTCTTCATGAGCTCTTATAATCTCAGTCTGCCCCCCATAGCCTGCAAGGTCAGGCCAGTCGCCCCTCTAGCTATGTGAAAACGGGTGTGGCAAGGGGTGTCCCTGTGGAGGCCCCCAGCTGTCAGGGACTGAGCTGGGTCCTCTTTTGTCCTCTGTTCTGCATCCCTAGCCCCTCAGACAACTGCCCCTGGCTCACAAACCCCTTGGAAAACTTGACACAGTGTCCCCAGAAAACCACTTAGATACCTCAGGGCCTTTTGGTTTCTGGGGACTCATCCTCCGAGTCCGGATGGTCATGTGCCTTGGCTCCACCATGGGGCTGGAGTGGGTGTTGCATCCACAGCACCCAGGCTCCTCAACTGATGCCAGGGAAGTGGGAGTGTAGAGCCAGCTGCTTTGTCTTGGGGGAGGAAACTTTCTGTACTGGCCCTGAGAGGTAGCCTGACCTAGGGTTATACGCCACACTCTAGGCCACCCCGTGGGGCCAATCCCAGCTCTGCCACCGTTTACCTGCTACATAGCTTCGTTTTCCACCCCTTGGTCTCCTTATCTGTGAAATAGGGATAGTTGACAGGGTCTTCCTGTGTGGCTGTGGGGACTGAGATGCAGAGTGTGCATCTTGGGGTCACTACCAGGCTTGAGGGCAGGGGAATGGAGACGGTGTGTGTCCTAATCCTCTCCCCCACACACCCTTGGCAGGTGCTGGAGAGCTTCAAGATCATGGACTACAGCCTGCTCCTCGGTGTGCACAACATCGACCAGCAGGAGCGGGAGTGGCAGGCTGAGGGTGCCCAAAGTATGGCAGATGAGAAGCGGCCGCTAGGCCAGAAGGCGCTCTACTCCACAGCCATGGAGTCCATCCAGGGTGGGGCCGCATGTGGGGAGGCCATCGAGACAGATGACACGTAGGTGGTGGGGCTGGTGGGGCTTCGAACTCTTGTTTCTACCTACACTCTGTTGCCAGGTGTCAACATGGGCGGGGGAGTTGGCACAGCAGACAAGCAATGACAAAGCAGACGAGAGCAGAAGCCTGTCTGTGGCCAGTTTCTGGTCTGTACACAGGGACAGCAGTATCTACCCACCAGGCCTCATGAAGGTCAGACAGATGACACAGAGTAATGGCCTGGGTGTTCAAACCACAGCACCGCAGAGTAATCAGTCAGTGAATTCAGGCCATTGGCCATCCATATGGGAAACACAGAGGTCCCCTCCCTCCTGCTAGACCCCACTGTATGAAGCACAACCAAACATGTTGAAAGGTGGCACATGTGATGGAGATGACTGGGGATGAGGAGGCCCCGTTATAGCAAGATACCTAATCCAGAACCCACCAAGGGGCAGGATTGAGAGCGTTCCTTCCCCAAAGGTAAAAGGCAGCCATGCCAAATGACAAGGTTGTAGAGAGGAGCATGTCTCCTGACTGCACCCATTGAGCCTTAACCTTCCAATCTGGTCCTGTTCTGGGGACTTGGGGTTGGTCAGGGAGACAGACTCATGGCACATACCCCTCCTTTGGCACTGGGGACACTGAGGCCTTATCATTCTCTGTGGGGGGCTGTCCTGGACACTGGGGTGCTGAGCAGTTAACAACTCCTGCATGCCCCCTGCCAGGGATTGAGCCCACAACCTGGGCATGTGCCCTGACGGGGAATCAAGTGGTAACCTCCTGGTTCATGGGTCAATGCTCAACCACCGAATCACACCGGCTGGGCTCCTGTAGATTCTTGAACTCAGGCTCCTTCAGTCTTGCCTCTTCCTCNAACCAAACATGTTGAAAGGTGGCACATGTGATGGAGATGACTGGGGATGAGGAGGCCCCGTTATAGCAAGATACCTAATCCAGAACCCACCAAGGGGCAGGATTGAGAGCGTTCCTTCCCCAAAGGTAAAAGGCAGCCATGCCAAATGACAAGGTTGTAGAGAGGAGCATGTCTCCTGACTGCACCCATTGAGCCTTAACCTTCCAATCTGGTCCTGTTCTGGGGACTTGGGGTTGGTCAGGGAGACAGACTCATGGCACATACCCCTCCTTTGGCACTGGGGACACTGAGGCCTTATCATTCTCTGTGGGGGGCTGTCCTGGACACTGGGGTGCTGAGCAATTAACAACTCCTGCATGCCCCCTGCCAGGGATTGAGCCCACAACCTGGGCATGTGCCCTGACGGGGAATCAAGTGGTAACCTCCTGGTTCATGGGTCAATGCTCAACCACCGAATCACACCGGCTGGGCTCCTGTAGATTCTTGAACTCAGGCTCCTTCAGTCTTGCCTCTTCCTCTGTCCTTTCATCCTTGTCTCTCCCTGAGTCCCAGACCAGGATTGGGGCCCCAGCCTACTCCCACCTGGGCCCCAGCAGGCTGGGCCAGTCCCTGGTCCCCTTGCCTGGCAGGTGGGTGATGGCGCTTTTGCCTCCTCTCTCCCTGGTCCCCTACCCACGTGATGCTAGGAGCACCCCACAGGTGTCCCCAGACATGTTCTAGTGTCCCCTGGGGCGGAGTTATCCCACATGAGAACTGCTGCTAGAGATGCGTCAAGATTGCCCATGTCACCATGCACTGACCATGCCGGGAACCTGCATGCACTGGCCAAGGCTGGGCCAGTCCCTGGTCCCCTTGCTTGGCAGCTGGACTNTGCTAGAGATGCGTCAAGATTGCCCATGTCACCATGCACTGACCATGCCGGGAACCTGCATGCACTGGCCAAGGCTGGGCCAGTCCCTGGTCCCCTTGCCTGGCAGCTGGACTCTACCTGCATTACCCTGTTCTGTTCTTACAAGGGCCCTGGAGGAGGAGGGTGGCATCCCCCATCTTCAGCTGGGGAAAGAGGCTCAGAGGTGGAGTGGAGATAGCTGTCCTGTGAGCACAGCCAGGTGGTGGTGGGGCCAAGGCTTGACCCCAGCCTGGTCACTGCACCAGGCCACCAGCTGCAGAAGGCAGAGGATTAACCAGGCACAGGGCTACGACTGGAGCAAGGTGTGGGAGGGAGTGGCATGTGCAAAGGCCCTGCACAGCTGACCCTGACCTCAGACCGCCCTGGCCTGTTCGTAGGATCTGCACAGGGCCTGGCAGGGGATGGCAGGGCACCCAGGTGAGTTCAGCAGTGCATGGAGTGCAGTGAGCAGAGGTTGGTGGGTTTGGGTAATGGTGGCTTCAGGACAGCTGCTACATCGTGTAACCTCATTAACCAACTGGGCTGGGAATGTGCAGGCCTGGGGCTGTGTGAGGCAATTAACTCCCCAGACTGCCCCCAAGAGCCCTTGCGCCCTGCCTGGGAGTGTGCGTGTGCATATGTATGCATGTTATGAAAGTGTGTACACGTGTTTGTGCACTGTGAGTGTACCTGTGTGTGTGCAACTCTGAGCGTGTACATGCACATGTGTGCAAATTGCATGAGTGCATGCAAATGCACTGTGTGTGCGCGTGCCTGCATGGATGTGCATGTGTATGTGTGTGTGCACCTGGGCCTCATAGCTGTGACCCCATGGCAGCCTCAGTCCTCCAGCTTCAAATTTGTGAGCTGGCTGGGAAAAGCTGCTCCATCCCATGCCAAGATATGGGTCCCCTGTGCTGGGATACCTTCTGAAGATCCAGCCAAGCTGCCACCTGCAGGGGTCATGTAAATTTTTTTTAAAAAATTTAGCTCTTTTATTTTTATTTTTTAAAAATATGTTTTTATTGATTTCAGAGTGAGGAAGGGAGAGGGAAAGAGAGATAGAAACATCAATGATGAGAGAGAGTCCTTGGTGGGCTGCCTCCCACACTCCCCCTACTGGGGATCAAGTCCACAACCAGGTCATGTGCCCTGACAGGGGATCTAGTGGTGACTTCCTGGTTCATGGGTCGGTGCTCAACCACCGAGCAACACCATCCGGGCTCCTGTAGATTCTTGAACTCAGGCTCCTTCAGTCCTGCCTCTTCCTCTCTCCTTTCATCCTTGTCTCTCCCAGAGTCCCAGACCAGGATTGGGGTCCCACCTGGGCCCCAGCAGGCTGGGCCAGTCCCTGGTCCCCTTGCCTGGCAGGTGAGTGATGGCACTCTGGCCTGTTCTCTCTCCAGGATGGGCGGGATCCCAGCTGTGAATGGTCGAGGGGAGCGTCTGCTGCTGCACATTGGGATCATCGACATCCTGCAGTCCTACAGGTGGGCGCCTAGTCCCCCAGTTGCTTGCTCAAAGAAGCCAGGTGCTGTCTGCTTGCAAGGCTTTCTCCTCCTTCAGGAAGGCTCCTGTTGGCTGCCCTCCTCCCTAGCCCTAAGGGGAGCATTTGGTCCCCAACCCAGAGATTCTACCCCCGGAATCTAGATTCATCCTAGGGACTCAGTGATGTTGGAGGCAGGTCAAGGCTGACTCAAGGCATGGGGGGTGGGTGTAGTGTCTCACCAGCTGATATTCCACCCAGCCCTGTCGATTGAGCACCTAGTATGCCAAGTTCTAGGCTAATGAGAGCGAGACAGAAATGCCCCATGGCTGTGAAGAGAGACGTCTCTGGAAAATTCCTACAATATGAAGAAATACATGCTCATGTGCCATGTGGTCTCTGGCATGGACATGAATGTGGCAAAGCCTGAAGGAACAGACACCCAAGATTTACCTGGAGCTTAAAGCAACCTCATTATCCATGCCTTTTCTTCTGTGAGCTTTCTGCAGTGGAAATTTTTAAATTGTCATTAGTTTTTTATTGTAAGACCAATATATGTTCATTATACATAATCCAAACGCAACAAGTTGTGGCTGTGGCTGTCCTTGTTTCCACCCCACACCCCCACTCCATTCCAGGAAACCCACTTGGCATTAGGTGATTTCTCCTTTGCATGTTTCTCTTTTTTAAATACAGCAAGGCCTTGAACAATATCATTTCGTTCAGCATGGTTGCATTATAACATTGCTGAGATGCCTAGGAATATAACTCTTGTTTATATCAATTAGCCTATGGTAAAGTTGATTTCGTTATACATCATTTCTGTCAGTCTCCAAACGTGTAAGTCAGGACTTACTGTGTAAAAATCGGTTCCTGCCCTTCAACTTTTCACAGCCTGTTTTTTTTTTTCCCATTGGAGGGCTGACCTCTTCTGCAGGCATCTTCCTGCCAGGATCTCCATTGGTTTGGAGCAGGGTTAGGCAGTTTTCAAACGAGCTAGTCAGGGTTTCTGCCCAGGCGCCAGGTGGGGCTGAGGGGGTGGGCAGCACAAGGCAGCAAGCAAGTGGGGGTAGGGTTGTCATAAGGAGGTGTATGTCAAGGAGGGGAGTCTTCCTCCCACAGACTGGGGGAGCCCAGGAAGGCTGCATGGGGGAGACAACATTGTCCCCAGCTTAGGTTTGTTACGGAGTCCAGGCTAGGGACCATGGCACAGGGCACTGACTGTAGCAGAGAGGAGTCAGGCTCAGCCTGGGCCAGGAGGAAAGAGGAAAAACAGGCTCTGGGAGGCACTAGCTGTCTGCCACAGGGGGCCAAGCCTTTTAACTTCCTCCTCCACATCAGCAATAGTGGGAGCTGCCAGCAGGCAGGGCAGGGAACAAGGTGGGGACAGGAAAGAGGGTAAGTGGCCTCTGGCTGAAGCAGCAGGCAGCCTTAGTTCCTCTAAACCAGGGCTTCTTCACCTGCTCTATGCCAGGAGCACCTGCAGTTGTGATGACCATAAATGTTCCCAAACATTGCCCAGTGTCCCCTGGGGACAGGATTGCCTTGGTAGAGAACTCCTTGACCCAAAGATTTGGCTGATGTTCTGGGTGCTTTTTCTCTGCCAGGTTCATCAAGAAGCTGGAACACACCTGGAAGGCTCTTGTCCACGATGGGGTGAGCATCATTTATTCATTCACTCATTCTTTCCTTCGTTCCACCTGTCAGTCCACAAGTGCTGTGACCATCTCCCTGGGCCCGGCATAGGTGCTAAAGAGCTGAGAGACATGTTCCCCTTTCCTGCAGTAGCTGTACAGCAGAGGTGGCCCTGTGACCAGGTAGTCACAGGGCAAGTAAGGGGTCAGGGAGTCTGAGCCATCCATGAAGGATACAGGAAAACTTCCTGGAGGAGGGAACCCCCAAGCTGGTTTGGAAGGCTTCCAAAGGACAGCCTGACAGGGAAAGTCAGGTGCCAAACAGACAAAGAAAAATCTGGAACTGCGCAATGTGGAGGGGGTCTTGGCCCAGGGGCAGCACCACATAAATCTGACTCCTGTTGCCAGGTGGGCATGCAGCACACTTCAGCAGAATGTCTAAGTTGTATGAGAAAAGCTTACAATGCACTTTTTTTCCTGAGGGCACTGCCAACATGGAAACCCCAGCAATGGATTGTTTCTAAATGTAAAAAACTGTGAGGACCAACCACTGGGGGCCAAACAGAGCCCATTTGTGGGTGTGGCAACAGCCTGCCTGGTGGATGACTTTCCTTCCATGGCACCCTGCCCCCACTTCAGACCAACTCTTTTTTTTTTTTTTTTTATATCTTTATTGATTTCAGAGAGGAAAGGAGAGGGAGAGAGAGTTAGAAACATCAATGATGAGAGAGAGTCATTGATCGGCTGCCTCCTGCACGCCCCTGACCAGGGATCGAGCCCGCAACCCGGGCACATGCCCTGACCGGGAATCGAACCGCGATCGCCTGGATCCTAGGTCGACTCTCAACCGCTGAGCCATGCCCAGCCAGCCAGACCAACTCTTACTAAAGTGCTAAGGGCTGTCTGTGTGCCTACAATGTGTAAAATTCCAAGATCTTAACCAATAAGCCCCCACGCCCATCAGAAAGTGTTTGGAGGGTTAAGCAGGAGCTTCCAGAATGTGCATCAAGAAGGTCCAGGTGGTGGCCAGCCAGCAGGAGGTTCTTTTGTGGTGTTATAAACTCACAATGGACAGGAGAGCCCTCAAGGCTGGCCATAACCCCAAAATAGGATTTGGGTCAACCCAAGTGGGCCCCAGATATTGATCAGTAACCATCCAGCTGTGAGCATACGGGCCCAGGTTCCTTCTGTGTGTTGCCACACCCCCCCGGGCGCTGCCCTTGGTCCCTGGTTCAGGCGGCTGGTCCATGTCAATCTCTAGCCAGAGGGAGGCATGAGGAGCAGCCACAGGGAGGGGGGAGTGTCTTTCCCTCTAAGTGCTGAGAGACTCACTTTGTTGGTTAGCATGCCATCAGACAGAAATGGCCACTCCTCAGCACAAGAGAGGATGGGAGATGTAGTTTTCATTCTAGGAGGCCGTGTGTCTAAACAGTTTCTATTACAGTACTATATGGGGAAGACCCTGGGCCATGTCTTGGGACATCTGTGGTTGTCATTGCTGGGGATGCGTCTGGCATTGAGTGGGTGGGGTCTAGGGATGCTGCCCAGGATAGCCCCAACCCAAAGAATGACTCAGCCCCAGTGCCAAGGAGGAGATTGTGCCATAGAAGGCAAGGAGACTGGGTCCTGGGGAGTAGCAAGGAGTCTCTGCTTTAGGGGCCCAACATTTATTGAGCACTGACTGTGTGCTGGGCTCCCTGCTTTATGTAAATCCTGGTGAGCATAGCAATCTCCCGTCTCCCTTGTTGCATAAATAAGGAAACAACCTCCAAGAGGGTCAGTGTGCTGCCTAGGGTCACCCTGACAGTGAGCACTGGGGCAGTCAGGTCTGCCTTAACCGAGGAACACCAGCTTCCACTTGTCACAGCGGATTGGCTCTGCCCATGGAGCAGGCATGGCCATGTGCCAATAAAACTTTACTTACAAAACAGGTGTTGGGGCATGCTCTGACAACCCCTGCTTTAGAAAATCCCTCTGGTTCCTTTATTTTGATATTTATTCCTTTACTTCTTTGAATAGCTATTTATTCTTTGAATAGTTATTTTATTCACTCAAAAAATGAAAAATACAGATGGGTTTATAATGTAAAAATCTTCCACACCCCTCCCTGCCACTGTTATGTGATCTCTGGGTCCCCGCCAAAAAGCCCCATGCGGTGGCCCCATCACCCCCTCCACAGAGAAGGTGGCACCCCACCCCCAGCAGTCTGTCCTGGGCTGTCCTGAGGGACACAGCGAGCCATAGTGCTCACGCCCCTGCTTGCCCTTGGGCCCCCACATCTCTTCCCAGGACACCGTCTCTGTCCACCGGCCCAGCTTCTATGCCGAGCGCTTCTTCAAGTTCATGAGCAACACAGTCTTTCGGAAGAACTCCTGTGAGTTGCCCTGGCCTTTTGTGTGGGAGAGACCTGGGGTGTGGAGCGACGAGAGCGGGTGGCCAAGAGTGGGGTAAACCAGTGTGCCTCGTGCTGCTGCTTAGTCAGCCTCAGGCCTCAGTCAGGGGCTTGGTCCTGCGAACAGGGTAATCAGGCAGCTGTGCTACACAGGACCCCAGAGGGCCTGGTGCCCATGTCCAAATTTGAGTCCTGGTTTCACCTCATCCTGCCTGTGTGACCTCGAACCAGTAGAGGTCATGGTCCTCAGTTTCCCTATCTGTACAGAGCTGTGAGGGCAACATGTGTTTCATACAAGACAAGTCCAGTGCCAGCACTCAGCAGGGCTGCCCATGTCCTTGCTCTGTCTCCAAGGACATGTGACTTTGGCGGGCATTGAGATGGTCATTGGCCTAACTAGACATTGTCAGGGAAGGTATAGGGCGAACGGTAGTGGCCCTCACCCTGTGGAGTGGTCCTGGGACGCCCCACGTGTGTATTGGGCCTCAAGAGTCCCAGACCCTGGGATGGTATTCCTGCTGTAGTCCAGAGGAGTTTGCTGGCTTCTAGGGACTGAATATCTGTGCACAGGAAAAAAATGAGCACCTAGTGTGTACTGGGAGCTGTGCTGAACACCGTGGGGGCAGAGGTCACAGTATGAGCAAGGAGAGGATGGTGACGGGTACTGACAGGACAGGCCTGGTGCAGAGTGTTATGGGGTTCACCTGCTGCACTTGACCTTGTTGTTGCAAACGAGAATGCTGAGGCCAAGAGAGGCTAAGCTATGTTCCCCAGGCCACACAGCCTGGCTGGGGGCCAGGCCCTAGGCACTGAGCTTCCCGTTCACTCCCCAAGGCCTTCTGTTTCCTTTTTCGAACTTTGGGCCACAGCAATAGTGGGCTGTGATAAAGGGGAGGAGGCTCCAAAGTGCTCGATAAACATTGGCAGCTGCTGATTCAGCTGCTGTTTCTGGAGGGCCCAGGGTGGAGGTGCGAAGTTCCATCTCTGTTGATGAACAGAGCCAAATGGAAAGTAGGATGGAACTTTCTCCAAGAAGAGCATTGCTTCTTGCTCAGGCTTGAGGAACAGGCTGGGTCTGAGGCAGTGAGGGCTATGTGTGCAGGTGGTGGGCCCCTCCGTGCCCACCACACTTTCATGCAAAGGAGGGATAGGGGTCTGCGGGGCCCTGCCTTGTTGCTGCCCCAAGCACGCCAACCATTCTCCCTCCCCAGCCCTGAAGTCATCGCCATCCAAAAAGAGCCGTGGTGCCTTTTTGGCAGTCAAGCCCCTGGGGCCCACAGCCGCCTTCTCAGCCAGCCAGATCCCCAGTGAGCGGGAGGACGCACAGTATGACCTACGGGGGGCCCGCAGCTACCCCACGTTGGAGGACGAAGGTGACTGGGCAGGGGAAGTGGGTGCATTTGTGACAGGAGAAATGAGGGGGCTGCTGGGGAAAGACACCACCCCTGCAGGTCTAGTGGGGGGTGCAGGGAGCAACAGTAGCAATGCATTGTGAGGAAGGGGACTCCTGAAGCTGGGCTAAGCCTGGATGGGAGGGACACCTTTCCATTCAAAATCTGCAGCCACCTGGGGAGTGGGGAACAGCTGGGACTAGGCCCAGGAATTGTTGCAGGGAGAACAGCATAGAAAGCACCACCCGGGGAAGTTACAGCCTCCTCTTACATCACTTGAGGTTCCCAGAAACCTAGAAGGATGAAGTGCTCAGTGGGGTTGGGCCTGATGTTCTGGAGGTCCCTCTGAGCAACCAGGGTCAAAGATTCTAGGCTGGGAGGGGCTGGGGGAATAGCATCAAGGAAGGGAGAAACTGCATGTGTAAAGGTCCTGAGGCAGGACTGTGCCTGGTATATTGGAGGAACAGCAAGGAGGCCCATGTGGCTGGAGCAGTGAGTGATGGGGGGAGAGGGAGTTGGTAAGGGCAGGGAGGGGATGAGGGCAGATAGGGCAGGACCACTGGGAGGCAGTTTGGATTTTAGTTTGAGAACAGCAGGAGCTACTGGAATCCCTTGTGCTGGGGAGAACAGAATGTGGGTGACCAGTGAGAGCTGCAGTAGAGCCCAGAGTCCCTGCAGGCAGGCCCTACCTGGGAGCCTGGCTCCCATAGGTACCCACTGCCTCCTCCCACAGGCCGGCCGGATCTCCTGCCCTGCACACCACCTTCTTTTGAGGAGGCCACCACTGCATCCATCGCCACAACCCTGTCCTCCACATCCCTTTCCATCCCAGAGCGGTCCCCCTCAGAGACCTCAGAGCAGCCAAGGTACAGGTGAGCAAAAGGGGGCATCTCCTGGGGTGGGGGAAGCTCAGGGTAGGGCTGCATTCCTAAGAGGAGGGATCAGGGCAGGGCCTGGGTGGGGTGGGGCAGGTGGGGAGGCCTCCCCTACCTGTTCCCTCTATTCTACCTGTTTGTGTTCTCTCGGAAGGCGGCGCACACAGTCCTCCGGACAGGATGGCCGGTAAGATGAGACCGCAGCCCCCTCCCTTCCAGTCTCCTCTCTAGTCCCCACAGTCTCCCCAGCTCCTCCCCTGCAGAGCCTCCCTTACCCCCCTTTCCTCCCTCCCCTCCCCTTCCCCACAGTTCACCCCTCCGCATTTCCACTCAGAGCCCCTCTTTACTGGGAACAGATTTATGTTAACGATCGATCTTCTGGCTCTGGAACCACATAGAATCTCCAGTCACTTTGTGTTTCTCTCCCACCTGGGGGCCCCCTTCCTCTGCATCTGTTGATCCTTTCTTTTTCTCTTTTATTCTAAGATACAAAAGCGCACATAGTGAAATGCCTGTCCCTGCCCCATGCCCAGTCCCCTCCCTGGGAGCACCCCCTAGATGGGTCTTTTTGCCTTTGGAAATATTATGAATATACAAGTAAACATACACTCGGGCCTGTTTCTCCCTTTTGTTTTGACACAAGCCATGCCTCTGTGCTCCCTGTTCTTTGCTTTGTCACTTTCCAGATGAAGGTTGTCACTGGGAGCCTTTGCTGGTTGTCTTCCTTCTAACAGGTTGTTCCTGCTCTTGGGGGAACACTTGAGTTGTTCCCAGTTGTTTTTTCTTTTTTGTTAATCCTCACCCGAGGATATTTTTCCCCATTGATTTTTAGAGAGTGGAAGGGAAGGAGAGAGAGAAATATCGATGTGAGAGAGACACATCCATTGGTTGCTTCCCACACGCTCCCCAGCCAGGCCCGGGGATCAGACCTGCAACCCAGGTACGTGCCTTTGGGAATCAAAACCAAGACCCTTCCGTCTGTGGGCTGATGCTCTAACCACAGAACTAGCCATGGCAATTGTTCCCAGTTGTTTGATCTTGTCACACAACTGTAGTGAATAGGAGTTGCTCTCAAAATTAGTTTTTGGGAGGATAATTCCTGCCAGCTGAGAAGAAAGTCATAGTACAAATTACATTTAGTGAAAAGTACATCTCCCTCTATTCAGCTGCCTGCTGGCTGCAAAAAGCCTCTGATCGACCTACACCAGGGGCCTCAGCTTCTGAGCCCTTAAACCACTTCACCCCTAGTTCAGGCCCCAGGTGGGTTCCAAGCCACCCCAGGAATGGGGTCAGGATCCAGGTTGCCACTCATTCATGCCCCTGCTGGTGCCAGAGTCCCAGGACAACCCCAGGTGTATGGTCAGTTGCTGCCTCCTCAAAGCTCCCAGGTGGGCGTGACAGCCAGAAGAACTAGGCCTGAGCTTAGGGTGCTGGTTGGTTGGCACCCAGAGATAGCACCTCAGACCCCATGGGACTGAAATCAGCACCTGCCCAGAGGAGCTCAACAGGAGTTCTTGGCAAGTGGAGGTGGAGCGAGGAGGGAAATTGAGTATGTCATCCCATTGCCTCCAGGCCCCAGGAGGAGGCACGTGTGGAGGAGGACCTGCAGCAGATCACGGTGCAGGTGGAGCCCACATGCAGCGTGGAGATAGTGGTCCCCAAGGAGGAGGAAGAAGGGTGAGTGACCATCCTGTCCCTGTGGTCAATGCTTTCTGGTTGCCTGGTTCCTGTATTCAACTTCTGCCCCAATCCCATTGGCTGAGCATGGTCACATGGCCAGCTAGCAACAAGGCAGGCTGGGAAGTGTCCTCATTCTGAGGAGCAGAGGCATGGGAATGGGGCTTTAGGCACTGGGCTGCTGGGGACCACAGATTCGCTCGCAGAACTGCAAGTAATGTGTCAGTCCAGGGATTGTACCTTGTTGATGACCTGCGACTCTTTTCCCTCCCTGCCCTCACTCTTAGCCTTGCCTGCACTTGAGAGAGAATGACTGGTCAGTTTCAAGGATCGCTTTTGGACATAGTCACCCTTTCTCCTCTCATATATTGTTCTTGTTTCATGCACTTTAATCATCAGTAATGTCTTCCTTCTAACTTCTGGTTTGTTTTCTCACTAGTTTGTTTTTCTTCAGCATAGGTTGAGTGCTTAAGTTCCTTTTTTCTTTTTTTAATAAGGCTATGCATTTTCCTCTGAGTACTGCTTTTGCTCTGTCCCTTGAGTTTTGACATGAAGCAATTTCTTTTTATGCTGGCTTATACATAGGTAGTTAATGATTTTCCTTTTAATGTTCTATTTGATCCAAGGCAGTGAGGCTTTCAACAACCTGGGGGTGGTCCTGCCCCCCGGGGACACTGGGCAATGTATGGGGACATTTGTGGTTGTCATGACTGGGGGTGCTCCTGGCACTAAGTGGGTAGGGGCCAGGATGCTACTCAATACCCCATAGTGCTCATGATAGCTCCCCCACAGAGAATGACCCAACCCTGATATCAGCAGTGCCCAGGGGGAGAGACCATGGACTAAGGTTTATTTTGGAGTGTCTCGCCACTTCTGGGTACCTAAGGGTTTTTTTTTACCCTTTTAGTACTTAACTCTAATTTTACTAGGTTTTGAGTTGAAAAGTAGCCTAAAAAGAAAATCTACGCTATTTTTTAACAGATTAAAATCTTTGTGGTGAAGTACAACATTAGTTTTTTGGGTGGTTTTTTTTCATTCCATGGACATATGGGAGAAATATGTATTTTCTGTCAGGAGATGGAAAGTTCTCTGTAAGTCTGTTCTGCCCAGTGTATTGATTGTTGTCAATCAGTTTTTTTATGTCTTAACTTACTTCTCATCTGTTTGGTTTATTTAATTCTGTAATTTAGAATCTCTGTTCTATTTTAAGGGACCTTAGCATTTACACCACATTCGCAGGCTGCACTTTGCCATTAAGAATTTATTTTACACACACATGTGCACGCGCACGCACCAGTCTCTGTCAGCGTGCTTTTTTTGCTGTTAACTGAAATCTTACAGTATAATGTATTGTTCAGTCTTTGCCCAGAAAAACAATCTGACCTGAAACATGACTGAAGAACAACTCCACAGTTATGGGTCCTCTGTCACCTAAGAGGTTATAATCTTATTTGTGAAGTGAAAATTATGCAGCGATGGCCTGGGCATGATCCTCACCTGTAACACGGGATGGCAGCACCCCCTCCCCGAGGGAGATTCAGTGGATTCATTCACACAAGGCTCTTGAGCAGGCCTGGCATGTAGCAAGTGCTCAGTGCTGTGTGTCCCCACTTTACAGACGAGGAACGGAGGCTCGGAGAAGGAAAGTAAGGCTTCAGGGTTGCACAGCAAGTGAGTGGCAGGGCCAGGACAGTGTGTGTGCCTGAGTTTGGAGAGGGGTCCAGGTGGGCCAGTTATTACCTGGGCCACGACAGAATTGGAGGGTGTTTAGTGTTATGGCTTCCTGAGACTTTTGTCTCCATGGTGACACATTGATGAGGGAGGAGGCCGCAGGAGGATGGGAGGGAGTGGGCTAGGAAAGGATGGTGCTGCTGAGAGCTCAGCCCCAGGACTCCCATGTCCTGCCCTGTCCCCAGGGTGGAGGCTTCCCCGGCCTGTGCCTCTGCTGCTGTTGTTGAAGTAGAAACCGCCAGCCAGGCCTCAGAGCCCGCCAGCCAGGCCTCGGATGAAGAGGACACGCCCGCCACCGACATCTACTTTGTAAGTCCTCCAGGGGCTCTCTCCCGTCACCGGGCCCTTGACCCAACATGTGTTCATCCGTGCATGTGCACTGACATGCCCACACACATGGACACACGTGGCACACATGATCATACCTGCATACACATGCCTGTACATATGTACATGTGGTCACATGCACACACTCCCACATTTGCACACCTTCACACTGACACATGGACTTGCTCACACACACTCGAAAGGCATGCACATACCTGCATGTGCTCTTGCACACCCACCGGCACACTCACAGTTGCTCTAGCATGCTCACAGGCGCTCGCAGGGTATGCTCTTGAACATATGCACACTCATAAGGTATATGAGTGCCCCACCCAGTGTCACCCAGGCCAGCCATTCCAAGGCCAGGAAACTGCCCTGGACCTTGCTCCCCAGACCTTGTGACCACTGCCTGGCAAGAGCCAAGTCCCCAGCTGTGCCATCCTGTCCCCCTGGGAATCACCTGAGTCCTCACACTCTCAGCCCTGATGGGCCCCTGGGTCCTTGGTCTGTGCTGAGCTGGCCAAGGTGGACGGAAATGCTGTGGATCTTCTCCTACTGGGTGGTGGGTGCAACCGGGTGGGCTCCGTCCTTAAGGGGGCAAGGGAACTGTGGCAAGGGGAGGTGGGCCTCATGCTATCGACTTCACTGGCCGATGACACACAGCTGCTCTTGGGCAAGGCGGGATTCATCAGAACAGAAAGGGGCCCTGTCCTGGAGACCAGGGCCTCTCTCCCAAAGCTGGGTGTCACCTCCCCAACTTGCATCTCCTGCAGGCAGACAGATAGATGAGCCAGGAGCCTGGGTGAGGTAGGTGCTGGGTGGCCAGGAGCCTGCAAAGTCTAGTCCACTGGCTCCCAATGGTGGGTCAGGGGTCAGATGGCCCCATTTGCAACGGAGAGGACCAGACTCTGCAGCCCAGCTGCCTGCCCTCTTCCTAGACCTTCAATTTCATCTCTGCTCCCCAAGAGAAGGTGAGCTGGGGGCTGCCCACTGCCCTGGTCCTGGTGCCTGGCCTTCAAACCTCCAGGCCTCTGGGCAGTTTGGGTGAGCCTGGCCTTCTGCTGCTATCACTGCTTCATAACTACCACCACCCTGCTGTCCCGAGCCCGTGCTGCTGGGTCACAGGGCCCCTGCCAGAAAGAGTAGGGAGCACACTGTATGTGTATCTTCCCTCCCTGCCATTGTCTCCCCATCCCTGGGGGCTTGATTTATGTCCTGTTCTCTCAAATTGTGTGTGAGGCAGATGGGCTGGTCTTGTGAGTGGGTGGCTGGGCCACATGGGCAGCAGAGAAGATAGAAGCCACAGTGTGACCCTGATACCCCCAAGCCCTCCTACCGCTTTGCCATTTGGCTCACCTGCCCCTACCTAGCACCCTCCCCACTTGTCCTTCCTGACCTCAGCGGGATTCTGCATTCCTGTTCCCTCATCCTATCCTCTCTTTGCCTCCTCCGCCCTCCTGGCCCACCCAGTTCACGGATGGGAGGTACTGGATTTACTCTCCCCGGCATCGCCGACTGCGGGCCATGACGCTGAGCTCCTCGGGGACTGTAAGTGACCACAGCAGGCCTCCAGGAAGCCCAGCCCCTGCCCCGCTGCCCGGGGCAGCCGGGAGCCTCAGGGCCTGGCCGTCCCTCTTCCTCTGAGAAGGGACCTGGGGAAAATAATCATGACAGCTGTGCGGGGTGCCCTGCTGTGTGTGTCCTGTGGGGATGTCACTTAATCCCCTGTGACCAGTGGTCACAGTGGTCAGCAGGCGCATAGCTGGTGCTCAGCAGGCCTGACCATGGTGGAACCTACATTTGACCCCCAGCCCCAGGCCACCTCTGTCCCTCTTCCCAGCCCTTCCAAGCGAGGGACAAGTAGGGCAGAAACTTCTCATTCATTCAGACCTTGCTGCTAATGGCTCCCCAAGGGGCATCTTCCCTTCTGATGGGGATGGTCACATGGATCAATAAGGGACTGCAGAGCTGGGCTCTTAGCTACAGGAGAGAGGAGCTGGTATCTTCATACCCATTTCACAGATGGAGAAACCAAGGTCTTGGCTTCTCAGGGAGCCCACGAGAGTACACGATTTAGACAAAATCTGAGTCCAGCCTCTGGGTGTAGTAGACACTCATCCACCCAGTGTGCTTGGGATGCTACATGGATGTTGTTGAACAGTGGCCTTATCAGTCCTGTTGTCATCATGAACAATAAATGAAGGGCCCAGAGAGGCCAAGTAACCTGCCCAGAACCACACTGCAAATGGGTGAAACAAGGTGAAGAACTGGAGCGATAATTTCTGTTCTTGAGAGGAGGCCCCTCAGAGGCTCACACCCCAGCCCCAACAGCAGCCCCCTGCCTGCCACTGGGTGTTGAGATCACTTCCCCAGCCCCTCCTGCCATACTGTCTTCCCAAGATGGGGATGCCATCCCCCAGAGGTGATTCATGATCCAGCAGCTGGGAACACACAGCAGCCCCCAAGGACTCCCTGGGGGGAGCAGTTTGCAAAGGTACCTGGAGGGGTTTGACTTGGATTTTGAAAGACCTGTGGGGTGTGGAGAGGAAGAGAAAACGGTGTCTCGGCATGGGACACAGCAGAAACCAAAGTGTGGGGGCTGGATGGGAGGAGAGGAATGCTGGGTGAGCAGCAGAAAGGACCCTCAGGCCTGCAGGGAGGATGTGCCCTTGGCCTAATTGTAGTGGGGTCATCCCCAGATTCTGAGTCCCTCCCCCAAACCCAGCTCTCTACAGATAGTCCAGTGGGACCCTCTTTTCCCACGTTCTGAGCCCTAGCAGGGCAGCTACCTCAGCATCAACCCCTCCTGCAGCCACCCCCAGACAAACTGGCCCTGGCCTCCACGTTCCCAGGTGGGCAGAGGAGGCAGAGCGAGCTGCTGCTGGTGAGCAGGGGTTTTCATTGCGCCATAAGCGTCTAAAGGAATGAGTGGGGCCTACAGTAGCATCTTGCCCTGCTGCCCCATGTGCCTTTGTGCCAGTCCACAGATAGACACAGGCCTCCTGGTCCCCAGCAGCCTTGTGACCCACATGAGCATAGGGGTCTGGCCTGTGAGAGCAGGTGTCATGGTGAGAGGTGCAAGAAGGGTGGGATTAAGCAGGCACAGAGGTTGGGAGAAGCAGCAGGTGGGCTCTGAGGGGCACTGAGTGCAGGAGCAGTGGGCCTGGGGGCTTGTTGGTTGTGGCTGTGGTAGATTTAGGGGCCTTGGGACAGCCAGGTAGACATGGCCAAGGCAGGTGTGTGTCTAGACCTGGTGCTCACAACGGAGGCTTCAGCCAGGGTAGAGGTCCTCAGGCCTTGGGGCTTTAAAGGCCAGGCATGGGGGGTTCCTGGGAGAAAGGAGGAAGAAAGAATGCGGCTGAGGAGGGCTGCAGGGCCCAGGGAGGTTTTTGAGATGGGAGCAGACCTGGCAGGGAAGCGCAGCCGCCCCCAGTCTGATGACAGAATTGGGAACCCCCTCCCCAAACACAGCTTGGAGAACACTAGTCCACCCCGCCCCTTGCACCTTCAAGCGCCCCCAGAGCCTGCGTGGCAGGCAGGATCTGAGGTTGGGGTGCTGCTCAGTTAGGATGGAGGTTCAGGTGTCATGGGTGGGCAGAGGAGGAGGAGGAGAGAGGACAGCAGAGTACACCAAGCCCCTGCCATCCTTCCTCCCCGCCCCGCTGTGCCTGCCCACCCGCCCTGACTGCACTCACCGCTTCTTGCTGCCCACCCTGCCTGCTCTGGCCACTCAGCCCCGGTCCTGCCCATCTCAAGGGCCATTCAGGTTGGGGGCAGGTTCCCATCAGGGAGAGGGCAGCCGGGGGCCGAGCTGCCCACTTGTCCTGCATTGGGGGTCTGCCTCTTTTATTTCTGTTTCTTCCTTCCTCCCTCTCACCTCTCTCGTGCCTCCTCACACCCTGCTCTTCTTCTGCGCCCTTCCTGCACGTGCCGCCTGCCCGCCCTCCAGCCCACCGATGAGAGGAGCTGGGTGTACTCCCCGCTCCACTATAGCGCACAGGCCCACTCAGCCTCCGACGGCGAGAGCGACACAGTAAGTGTGCCCACGGCCCACCAGCCTGGCCCACTTGGGGCCAAGATCATGGACCCCAGAGCCCCAAGGACAGATGGGGAAACTGTCTGGGGTGGGAGGGGCAGGCTTGGGCTCTTATTGTGTGGTGGCCCATGGGGTAAGTATTTTGGGGCCTGTGTCTGGCCCTCATGGCATGTGGAGTCCCATGGCATCAACGGTGGCACCAGGCCCCGTCATGGGAGGCCCAGTGGGTGGGGGGTCCAGCCCCAGCCCATCTAGCCCTCACCTGCCTCTCTTGCCTTCTGCAGTAATTTCTATGCAGTCACCAACCCATAGGAGTGGAGCTACACTTGGCCAGCCCAGCTCGGCCCAGAGCACAGGAGTTGCCACCTGGCTGCCGCTGGATCTCATTTGCCCACGTCTTCCCTTGGCAATGGTCACTGATGCTCCGGGCTGCAAAGCAACGGCCCTGGTTCTGTCAACTACCTACGCCTGTGATACTGTGAACCGCCCTGAGTTTCCAGTCATGTATTTATTTTGGGTCCTTATTCTTTGCACAGAGATGGCAGCACATGGCTGTTTTTTTAGGGGGGGAAAAAGAACACAATGGGAAAAGAAGACACTTCATTCTATGCACTTTTTGGTTCTTTGCTATGCTTGCATGTGTCTTGCTGAAGGAACAAGGCCCATCGGCTTTGGAGACCTGCGCCTCAGTGGCCCAGCTACTCCAGCTGAAAATCCTGCTCTGAGTTTCCACAGGCACCACCCTGCTCCACTTCCCTCTGTCTTGGATGGAGCACCTAGGAGGGAGGGCCACCAGGTCCCCACTGGTTCCCAGGGCATCTCTGGAAGCCACCCACCCATGCCCAGCAGCTGCTCTCCGCTCAGGTTTGTGGGCCGGGCGCTGGACATCTGTCCTTGGTGGAGGCCAACCAGTGGACTGGGGGTTGCTCACCACCCTACTGACTCCTCGGTCTGTCAGCCTATGTTTCCCACCACCCCTGCCTCCCAGGTGACTTGGGCCCAGAAATAGTCAGGCAGTGACTAGAATGCGGACACACAGCCACCCCTCTCTCAATGGAGCTCAGGGCTGTGGACATCTCTCTCATCCACTTGGACTGCTCAGTGTCTAGGAGATAGGGCCCAAGTGATGGGAGATACCCTTTCAAAGCAAAAACATCTGACTCTGAGAGGAGGCAACCAGGCCCTTCGCCATGGGACTTCTGGAGACCTTGTGTCCTGGAGCAGGGCCCTCCCCATGGGCAGGCACAGGGCCTAGAGGAACAGACTCTCTGCAGCAAGTGTTCCCCCATGACAGGTGGGCAGCCTCTCTCTCATTTTTAAATGATGATGATACCTGTACTGATAAAAGGATAGGGTAAGAAATTCTTCATGGAAAATGGTGAGGGATTTTTTGTCATCTTCAGCAGGGGGCAGCCATTCCTGGGCCCAGAGCCCCATTGGGTGACTGCCAGGATACCCTGCTCTGTGTCCAGAGGGGGCTGCTGGAGCCAACAGCTTTGCAGGGGCTCTCAGACCTCCACCTAGACACACACCCACTTCCTGAGGTGAAATGTCAGTGATGGCTGTCCCCGGCCCACTCTGCGGACCCCCACCAGCTTGGTCCCACATGGGAGGTGCTGGGAACCGGCTAGGAGCTGAAGCCACAACTTTTGGAAGAATTTCTGTCCTGCCCCTGCCTCCCTGGTGGAGCCTGAGACAACTGACAACCTGCTGATCTAGGAATCTGATTTTTTGAGTCCTTTGCAAGCTGCATACACTGTTGCTGCTTCCTGCTATGCAGGTCCCTCTTCATCCCACCTCCAACAGCCTGCTGGAGGGAACCTGTTGATCTGGCTGCTGTCCGCTCTTCCCTGGAGAACCAGGCTGCACCCCAAAGGCTCTCTTCTTGCTGTCCACACGGGGCAGCACCTCAGCTCTGAGCAGGGCCATGGGGGACACTCCATGCAGCCTGGGGAAGGGGATCCTCAGAGGACTTGTCAGAATAAGCTTGCAGGTGGCTGAACAAGAATCAAAACAGCATTCTCTCTCTACCACCCAAGGAGCATTTGTCCAGACCCTGGGACACGCCCTCACCTGGATTTTAGATCAGTGCCTGTCTGCAGGCACCCTGGCCACATGCCACAAGTCACCAGTCTGTCCCTGACCAGTCCCACCACGAGGGCAGGCAGACCTTTGAAGGCGCATCTCAGACCTGGAGGACTAACAGGGACAGCTGCATCACCCAAACACCAACGTGAGAGTCCCCACCCAGGCCCCAGAGGCTGGGCACCAGAGACATCCTGAGCCCCAGCGGGGATGACCAGTGGAGCAGGCAGTCCTGGAAAAGTGGGCCCTCTGTCCAGGGCATCCTTGGCCAGGGTGTCCTGGAGCTATAGGAATGAGCAGGGGAGTGGCCTGTGTGGCCCCCTCAGGTCCCCAGTCCCTGCTGGGCCCCTTGGGCTCTTCTGAGTGAATTATAGAACAAATGCGTCAGTTGGATGCTGACTTATAGGAGAGATGTGCAAACCTCCTGGATACGACATTTCTGTTTTTGTATTAAGTCAGGAAGACCCCTTTGGAGACCCATTTTGTGTTGTAGTCCTTGCCCCAGGACTGTGCGGACATGAAGCATTGGTTCATTCTTTTCTGGTCGGGGGGCAGGAAGGCAAGACCTTATTTATAACTGTGTAGTGAACCCATGGCCTTCCTCAGGCCCCTCATCAGGAAGGCCCTGGACCCACCCAGCTGTCACCGGCCCTGCCCCCCCAAGACGGAAATCTTTAAATTGCCCCCACTTACCTCCTGTCTCATCTCTGATGGCCGCTGTCACTGAGAAGGTGGGCAGCGTCTGACTTGCTGTACTGTAAAAATGAAAGGCATTTCCTGAGGCTGACAGGGTAGAACCTTCTGTGTGTCCCCTGCCAGCCTCCTCTCAACTTCCCTTCCTCCACCACCTGGCTCAGTGCAATACTTCCATCCCTAATGGGGTCTCTCTTGCCATGGTACTGTCACCGCAGCCCCTCAGGCCCCATCCCAACCTTGTTTTTATGGCTGAACTGATTTAGAAACAACAGAACTGCAAACCTTGTGTGTCTTAATTCTCACTGGGGCTTCCGCGTGCTCAGCCCCCCAGTCTGGTATGTGACAATCCAGAGTGCAGCCTCCTGTGGGCACCTCTGTAACCTTGCAGCCACTGCTGGCCCTGATAACACTCGTATGCAGCCCTGGGCCCCATCCCCACCAACCCTTCCTCTTTTTATGTTGAAGAGATCTCTCTAATAAATCTGGTAAAAGCATCTGCCATCTCTTTCCCTCTCTGCATTCCTGTAGTCTGGTTTGGAGTTTGAGGACTGGCTTTGAACAAAACATAAGGAAACCCATAGGAGATTTAAAATAACAGGATTCAAATGTCTTTTTAAAATTTTATTGATTTGAGAGAGAGAAACGTCAATTTGTTGTTCCACTTATGCATTTATTGGTTGATTCTTGTATGTACCCTGACTGGGGATACGAACCCCACAACCATGGCGTATCAGGACAACTCTCCAACCAACCAAACTACCCAGTCAGGACCAGGACCCAACTGTCTTAATTGCCTTAATAGCTTTGGCCTACTGGGTTTCAGTTCAGCTCGATAAACTTTTAAAAGCTTCTGATATCAGTGCAACCCAGCTCAAAGGAACAATCACCCCAAAGTGGCTCATATTGAGTGATGCATGGACCCCATTTAAGGGGAAAATATTTCTACCAGACTCTGTTTAAGAAACACTGCATTCAAAGTCAGATCCTGTTTATAAGCGAGCCCTTGGAAACCCAGTTATATAGATGCAGACCCAGAATGGCTCTGCTTATGTATAAACTAGCATACAGATGATCTGGAAGGTGCGTCCCTTACGTTCAGATATTAGAATTCAGATACTCTCACAAATGCATCTGCATTTTTAAAATCTTGGGGCCAGGCCTCACCAGTACAACCAATATCCCATAACAAGCAGGGTTGTCATAAGGGTGATAAGAGATGGTCTTCTGTTGTTTCCTTTGGAAGACTCCTTATTTTTTGTGTGTGGGGTGTTTTTTGTTTTTTGGGTTTTTTTGCATATATTCACAATATAAATACTAATTTGTTTTCATAGTACATATTCTCTTAGCAATTTGCCAAATGTTATCTAGCACATTACTGCAATTTATTACTCTCTATAGTACTGATTAAGGAAAAATAGAACTATTTTGAGGATAAGGGATTCTAGAAGGAATCCTTTAGGAGACCACTCCCACCTGGCACCTTGGTACCAAGCAGAGGTAAAGCATACAAAGCCAGCATTTAGGGTGGTGTTATGAAGCTATATTTTAAAATAAAGATTTAAAGAATTAGGTTAAAATATTAAGTACCATCCTCTGGTGGGCTGGGGGAGCTCGGAACAGGTCTTTGGGGTCCTCTAGATCTCCAGGTCTCCTGTCCTGTTCCCTATGTTCCATTCTACTCACCAGCCCCAGGGGGACTCCTTTAACAGCCAGTCCCACGTTTATCCCTCCCACAGATCCCCAGCACCCACAGAACAAAGCTGGACCACCCAGTTTAAATTGCAGCTGCCTCTTTGGGGTCGAGGGGGGGTATTAAAGTGACTTCCCCCTCTCTGATCCTCAGTTTCCCCAACTATACAATGGGTTGAAGGGAAACTAAAAGTCATCCAAGATTTTTTTAAAGATTAATCTCTGAAATACATAGATATTCGTTGGCGGATGGTGGAGCATGATGGTTTCATAGAAGGTCAGCCCAGCATCTGAGGCTTTTTAGTCTCCTTTCGAACTCCCACTTTTCGCCCTCTTTAGAAGTCAGGATTCGAACCCACAGTCTTGGGGCTTCCCTGCCTACACTGGCCAAGAGACCTCGCTCCCGGTACAGACTCCTTTTGGCCCCGCCCACAAGGCTCCACCTCCTCCCTGGACCCGCCCTTTTTTGGTCTCCCCTCTCCAGGCCCCGCCCCACTAGCAATTCCGGGTTCCCGTTTGCTCAGCTCACAGCCTATCCTAAGGCACGAGGACCCATATGGGGCTGCTTCTAGCACTGCCTGAACGGCGAGTTCCTAACCTGGGAGGCCAGAGTCCTTCTTGAGTCTATCACGCGGACCACTTTTGCAAGCGATGAGAGGTTACAATGGGTTAGAGTGCCCGCGGATAGCGTGGCGGGATGGACTCCTATCTACCGGTTCAGGCTCGTCCAGGGCAGCCTGGCGCGCGCCGCGGCCGAGGAAAGCCCCCGGCGTAGGCCCCGGATATTTGTGTCAGCGAGGCCGCCATCGTCCCAGCTGATGGGTCGGGATACACGCTCTCGCTCGCGGTCAGCGGGTCGCAGAGGTCGCAGAGGCCGAAGGCGGCGGAGCCGGAGTGGGAGTCGGAGCCGAAATCGGAGCGGGAGCCATGGGCGGCGAAACCGGCGGCGCCGGAACGACGAAGGGCGGCGGAGGCGGCGAAGCCGGGAACGCAGGTGGGGTCGCTGCTTGAGCAGCGCTGGGGATTCGGCTCCTGAGGAGTGGGGAGACCCCGGAGTTAGGGAGAGCTTCCCGGAGAAATGGACATCAGGCAGCGGAAGGAAAGCAAGAGGTATTTCAGGCAGGACACCGGATGTTTGGAGGGACAGCAAGTAGCCCATTGAGCGAGGCAGGTGACAGTGGTAATGGGACACCAGGTTGTGCAGGTTCTTGGGTGTTGGGGTGAAGGGTTTGGCCATTATTCGTAGGGAAGTAGGGGGCCACGGGAGGATTTTGAACAAGGGAGTGACGTGATCTGGCTTACTTTGCAGAATTCCCTCTGGCTTTCACGTTGGTGAAGGGACTGACTGTGGAGGTAGGCAGGAGTGACACCAGGAAGGAGGAGAATAATAGTCGTCCAGGCAACAGATGATGGTGGCCTTCAGGAGAGGGAGACTGTGGGAGGCACAATGAGAAAGTGGGTAAATTTGAGTTGGATTTCGGAAGTAGAGGTGACAACACTTTCTAATGGAGGTGGATGTGAGAGAGAACTGTTGATGGCAGGTGGCAGGACTCAGTTGACTCCTAGGACGTGGTCTCAACTTCCCCATGACCCACAGCCCTTTAATTCTGTAGATGGGACACCTTGCCAGACTTGGTCTCAGTCTGTTCTNCACCTTGCCAGACTTGGTCTGTCTGTTCCAGCACAGAGGAACCAGCACAGTGATGGGAACTGACTCCAAAACCGGGATCCCAGTGCCCGCTCAGCCCCTAACAGGCTATGACACTCAGGCCATTCATTTCCCCACTATGACCCAAGTTTACTTACCTGTGTCCTCAATATTTCCATGGGGACACAAGATTTCCTCTCCAGACATTCATTGTTTTCCATTCCTTCAGCCCAGGAATTTTCAACCTTTTTTATCTCATGGCACACATAAACTACAAAATTCTGTAGCACGCCAAAAAATAGTTTTTTTGGGTTTTTTTGCCAACCTTACAGAAGAAAAAAAAGGAATAATTTTGATTCATTAACACAGGATAGTTATTGTGTTGACTATTGTCATTTTTTATTTGACAATCTAAGGGAAAGAATGCCCCTGACTGAACAGTCAGGTATTGCTTGATTTAAAAATTCTTGTGGTGGCTCTGGCTGGCATGACTCAGTGGTTAGAGTGTCATCCCGAGCACTGAAGGGTCATAGGCTCGATTTCCCATCAAGGGCACATACCTGGGTTGCAGGTTCAATCTGGGGCCCTGGTTGGGACACGTGCAGGAGGCAATAAATTGGTGTGTCTCTCTTTCTCCCTCTTCCTCCCTCTCTCCCTCACTTTCACTCTCTAAAGAAAATCAATGGAAAAAATATCCGAGGATGAGGATTAATAAAAATTCTTGTGGCACACTGCTTTGAAATCACTCTTTCAGCCTGTTCTCCACACCCTAACCAGAATAGCCATAGTCAGACGCAGCTGATTGCCCTCTAGGCTGAGAAGGTGGCTTTTCCTTTTCAGTCTCCTAAGATCATTGCCACCCAGGAATTCCAGGAAGCTCTAAGTAGCAGAACAGAAATAATGAAGAGATGGTTTAAACAAGGGATTGGCCAACTACAGCCTGTGGCCAAGAATAGTTTTTACATTTTGAAATGGTAAAGAAAAAAATCAAAAGAGCAGTATTTTATTATGTGAAAATTATATGAAATTCAAATTTTAGTGTCCAGAAATAAAACTTTACTTGAAACATAGCCATGCCCATTTGTTTACATACCATCCACAGCTGCTTTTGCACTACAGCAGCAGAGCTGGGGTTTTTTTCCAGAAAGTTTTGTTGACCCTGGATTAAGGCCCCAGTGTTGAAAGTTTAGCTCACGTGTAGCAGTAAGTCTTGTTATTGTCATTTTTGTATTTTTTCATATACTGTTTTCTAGTATTTGAATTGTTCACAAGAATCAACCACTGTAGATATCTAATTAATGTTTATAAAAATTTACATGTCCAAGGCTTCCAAAATAATTGGTTTTCATAGGTCAGATTTTTAAAAATCATGATTCCTTTTTCTTTTTTTTCAAATATGTTTTTATTGATTTTAGAGCGAGGAGGGTAGAGGGAGAGAGAAATAGAAACATCTATGAGAGAGTCATTGATCAGCTGCCTCCTGCACGCCCCCTGCTGGGGATCAAGCCCACAAGCCAGGCATGTGCCCTGACTGGGAATTGAACCATGATTTCCTAGTTCATGGGTGGCCGGCTGGGCCATTTTTTATTTTTCAATGGCAGTTGACTATATATATATATAAATCCTCACCTGAGGATATGTTTATTGATTTTTAGAGGGGGGGTAGAGAAACATCAATGGTTTGTCTCCCATACATGCCTGACGGGATTGAACCCATAACCTAGGTAAATGCCCTGTCCAGGAATCAAACCCACAACCTTTTTGGTGTATGGGACAATGTTTCAGCTAACTGAGCCACCCCGCTGAGGCAACATACAATATTATATTAGTTTTGGGTGTACACCCCAGTGATTAGGTATTAATTAACTGCTAAGTGATCATTCTGATAAGTCTCATATCCATTTGATACCATACATAATCATTAAAATATTATTGACTATATTCCCTTTGCTATACTTTTCTGTAACTACCCATGACTATTCTGTAACTACCAACTTATACTTCTTTTTTTCTTTAAACTTATTTTTATTTTGTTAAAAGTTTTAAAATTGATTTTTGGAGAGGAATGGAGAGGGGGAGAGAGACACGGATGTGAGAGAGAAACATTGATTGACTGCCTCCTGCACACCACCTACTGGTGATTGACAAGCAACCTGGGCATG